TCATCGGTCGAGCACCCACTAATAGAATGATGGTGCGAATTTGGATTTGACATCTTAAATTGTACATATTTCCTGAGGATAAAAACAGAAATGTTTTGAAAACCACACTTTTTTGGGGTAAAATTTTCTCACAAATCCAATGGTATTATTCAATTTAACAAGAAAAACTATTTAACAATCGAAAATTAATTATAAATGAGTTACTGTTTTGAAAAACGTCACTTTTTCGAAGAAAAGCTACCATTTTTTTGTTGTTTCATGAAATGAAGTAAACCTTGCGTGATTCTTTAGTTAAAAGGATGTACTTTAATAAAAAATTATTGTTGTTGCAGAAATGCAAAGTAAAATATTTTTCCACATAGCCAGAAGTTGGGATATTTTCAGTTCATTTAATAGTAATTTGAATCTTTCTAATAAAACTTTCTAAAAATAATTTCAATGAAAATTAGGTATTTTAAGTACAAATCTTGCCAATTTATAAAGTGAATTATTAATAAATACTGTTTACATAATTAAAATTATATTAAAAAGTAATATGTTCATGTTATCGTGGAAGTTAAGACAGAGAAAACAGATGGAATTAGATTATACATACAAATGTTTTATTTATTATAAATAAATTAATAATAAATTCTTCGTTGTCCGAATCAAAGTGTTCGGAATCACCATCGGAATTGCTTTCTTCAAGCGATTCTACAATATGTTTTGCGCTACGCAAATTATATGTTTCTTGTCCCGATCTTTCAGCCATTCTATAAAAATATATGACAAGTTATATTTTTCATTCTTTTATAATAAGCATTTTATAATTTTTTCTATTTTTTTATTTCTTGTAATATGCTACTTTTCATTCAATTTTTTTATATATATTATGTCAAAAATCACGTTTTTTTTACAAATAATGTTATAATTTTAAAAGAATTAATAAATGATAGTTAGTATACAAAAAATACTTATTTTTAATGAGGATAGCGTCTACGAATGAAAAAAACTAGGCACCGATCTGGCACACACTATTTTACATACAAGTGCGAATATGCACCACAACAAACTTCCGTAGTTCATATCTCGTCAATCTGCAAGAGACTGAGGCTGTACATGTTCGAACCTGA